GGTGGGGGAGGGTGGAGGTGGTGGGGAGGGCGGAGGAGGTGGGGGAGGGTGGAGGGGGTGGGGGGGGGTGGAGGGGGTGGGGAGGGCCGAGAGGGTGGGAGGTTAGGGGGGTGGTTGAATACTTTTACTTTTCTAGAAAGGAAGTCAACAATAAAAGAAAAAAAAGACCCATGACATGTATTAAAAGCAATCCCAGAGTTCGCATCCCCCTCCCCTCCCCCACACTTTTTCTAGTCACGCTACGCTTTTGGACGGAGAGACGGACGGAGATGCAAGAAAACGTTGGGTATTATTATGCAAATGAGGGTACATGAATAATCGAGGAGGTATCTATATCGAGAGAGACGCCATCGCCATCTCTGGCTAATTCGGGGAATGAGTCGTTTATCTGACGCTTTCGAGTTGTTTTGTGGGACTCGAAATCTTGTGCAATTCCGTCACGGATAGTGCAATGCTGGCGAGAGGGAGAGAGATAATGATGCTTTCATTTGTATGCCGTCACCTTCGAAATTGAACCATCCTCCCTGAATCGTTCGAGCCAGAGTTCTTTGAAAACTCCTTGGACATGGTTACCTCTTAAGACAGATTCATTCAATAATTCAAGTTTCTTCAGTTCAGGTTTATGTGGAGAAAGATTGGCAACATAGTGCAAAGTATTGCTGACTATTTCTAGCTGCATTAGGAATTGATCTGCAACAGCGACACCTTTGGCACCATCTAACGTCGGCGGGACCAATATTTGCTTCAAGACAAAGTCAGTTGGATAAATTTGATGAGCTTCCGGAAGCCATATTAAACGTTCGACGAATGTCCTTCAAATGCAGCATGTTTCGAGGCTAGAAGAAATATTGAGTGAGGGCCAAAAAAAGGTTCTCAATCTGGTACCCAGGATATAGAAATACCACTTTGAAAACATGTTGAACGTCCTGGAAAGCGTATATTTGCTTCCAGGACAATATCATCTGCAAGAAACCTGAAGGTCTCATGGAGTCCAGATAATCTTCGGTACCCAATCAGTGAATGGAGCGAAGGAGGCGAACGCAAATGGAGGCCAGGAAAAAAAAGTCCCTCCTATTTCCTCATGGACGCTTCATAAAATCCGTGGATTCCGGCAGCACGCGGGAGGCATTACAGCGAAAAACAGGGCAACTCTCGTTTCCTGATATATCCGAGTAATGAGAAGACGAGAGCGAAACTTCGATTTTACGTCAAAGTTGCCTCTCCTTTCGTGTGCAAAATTAATTTTGAAAAGGCACATCCTCCGATGATATGGAAGAGTTGCGTCGACACTCCAATATCATATTTGTAAGCGGTTCGCCTGTTGAACTGTCTCACATACACAATTATCGCTCGTCCTAGCTGGCGGTCAGGATCGCGTACGACATATGTTTCACCTCCGGAGGTCCTCCAATTTAAATAACTTGCATCTAGAACTATTCAATAATTTATTTCTGTGAAAGCCACCTGATTGAAGAGGCAATATTCATTATTTTTTCAAAGTAACTATAACTGCAACTAGTTACACCTTACACAACATGGCTGTCTCCCAACATGTCCCTGTGGTAAGACTGTACTACATGCAGAATAAGCCATGAGTTTAAGTTTCCAAGCCATGATCCTGCACAAGAACTGTCCAAGATAAAGTATCTTTTTCCAAGAGTAGTCTTACCGGGACATGAGCGACAGGACCAGCCTTGACCTTCCCCTCTTCTTGCCCACTATTCAAGGTAATGTCATTGCGAATGATCCACTGAACCTCCCTTTGTGGAGCAGAGATAGGTGGATTGGCCAGAAAATAGACAGTGATCTCTCCTTTTCTGCCTGGTGGTAGATAAAACTTATTTCCATGGGGGTCGAAGTTCTTCGTCTTCCAGTCATCCATATGCACCACAGGGACATCTGTCAAGAGGAAGATGAGCACAAATATCAACTCAACGCAATGCAATTTCAGAGCATGGCTAGTTACTCCTCAGCTGCGGACACTGTAGCATTCAAATTGCCCAACATGATACACAGTGGTGTGTTTTGCCCACTCACATTGTACTTCCAATTTAGCAGATGCAGAATTATTGGCAGGATGAAGCAGCATGTGAATCACACGGCAAACCAACTTTCTCCCATTGTCCAGAGGAGAGAAGACATGACTCAAGGTGGCATTTACATTATAGACCATCATCTGCTGCACTCCTTGATTTTGCATTCCTGGGTAAGAGGTAAAGTCAGCTGGGACAAAGGTTTTGGTGTGGAGGAGCTCTGGGTGAGACGGCGTCAAATGTTCTTCACTCCCATCTTCCCTCACTGAAATGATGGAATGAAGGTATCATCTTAAACTCATCTATAAAACAACTGTACTACTAGCATATGAAAAACAAAGAATTAGATATCACTAATTCTAAGTCAAAAAAGTAGTATGGAGGAGTAATGTCAAGCTGCGCCAGCTGATCAGTTCACACTTATGAGAATTCAGGTAGATTAGTGCATGGAAACATGTGAGATTACTCACCAATGTACCATTGTATGCTCTCGACTTCAGGGCGAATGCCTTTCACCTCACAAGTGAAGTTGACTGCATTTTGAGCCTGAAGGATTTCGTGGTAAGCATCCTTTCGGACTTCAGACACCTCAATAGATTCCGGCGGTCCTGCAGAAGAGAAAAATATCACTTAGTTACGGGTCTAACACACAAAAAACATTACTTCCCACGCAACTGAGGAATAATCCTCAAAAAATCTACTACACGAGACATGGCTGCATTGTCATGTGCATGAAAGTAGTAGAGATAAAACTAATCAGATTACTCACGTGCTACAAGAATATCAATACGGTCACTTTTCGAATCGCCACCACTCAAAAAGGGGATGCAAGCCCATTTCCCACTCTCGAAGTCACTGGCACTCTTGATTCTGAAAGTGCACTCTTCCGTACTACCGCTGCTCACGCTTTCATAAAAGTTAGGGAATGAACCCGGCACGAAGCTAAATCCAATTGGGGGTCTCCAGGTGCAGAATTTAGTTGTATCTCCAGTGACTTTGCAGTGCATGATGAGTGACTGGCCAGGGAAATAGGGACCCGATGGTTCAGCATATGCTTCCACACTTGCTTCACCATTCGCTGTTGACAGGAAATTAAGAAAATTTTTAGAAACGACATGAAGGCATCGTTTCATCTTCAGAAACATATTTTTATGGGAGCAAGTACGTCTCGAATCCTGAAACCTCATTTGGTTAACGTTCTCTGAGTATCCATGGATTCCCAAGGCGCAAATGGAGCTCTTTAGATTAAAGATCCCTTTACATCGACTGCATGAAGTTTCAGCATCCGAGGCTTAATCGGCAAATTGAGAAAACATCGATGCTACCAACTGAAATGATTCCATGTATATGTCATAGAGTTTTGTGGAATTCATGGGGATTTGGAATCTCCCTAGGGAGAGACAGGATTCCACTAAACCCGCGGGTTTATCGGAATTCTCTCATAGTCGTGTCAATGTCACTACACCCTAGGGAGATTCCATATTTCCCTGGCTTGAAAATTACACTTCCCATGGCTTGTCCAGCCGGGGCAATTCTCCTTTCGTTTGCGTTTACGGATTGTTTAAGGCGCCTAACCAAAATTCTCGGATATGGAATCCCCCTCACACTTATTGTGGGTACCCATTAAGTGATTAACTGGAATTGACATGTGAGTGCCACCCTTTTGGGAAAGAATGCGCAGGATTGTCAGATTCTGTTGGAATCCTCTCATGAAGAAAATGCATACAAATCCATATCACGCGTTGACAACCCTAGCAATTTTTTATAACCCTTCCCGTAACGGGCCAGGGCAAAACCTTAAAATTTATTGCTCAAAATCTCATCCGTCAAATGTTATTAGCCGTCTTTATTTGGAAGTATCGGAAAGACTTTGGTTGGGAATAGACTAATTGGCGCCGTGAGAATCAGTGAGAATGCCACTCCTGATTCTGCCTGCCACTAACAAAGAAAGAGAAGCTTGGAAAAGAGTGGTTGCGTCAATGAAGGCGAAGGTTTTGAGGGCAGAAACAAGCTACGCCAGTGGGGGTGCAGGATCCATCTGCAAGTGCAACAGGTCTTGTCGCACCAACAGGTGCGGTGTAAAAGAAAAATAGGCATAACATCCATGTGTCACGGGGGGAAAGCAGTGCAACCTCCCTAAATAAGACAAGTTTATTATTAATTGACTGCTTCGAATCTTAATGACTTTGATTTTTTTCTTTCTATAAATGGACTGAAATTAAATTCCATTTCCCCCGGGTGATTTGGAATCTCCTTAGGGGGAGGTGACACCATGGAGGATTTCAAGATGATTGCGCTAAACCCGTGGGTTTAATGGAATACTGTCACTCCCTGGGGAGATTCGAAATCCTCCTGAATTCCACAAAACCCTACGACATATATCTTGCGATCAGAGCACCACGTCATGAGTACATCAATTTTTTATTGTCCAACAGGAAAAGCAAGCTTAGGTCAAAGTAATAAAAACACTACTACCCAGGGAGACGAAGAATAAGGGACATAACACAAGTGGCGCACCTAGAAGGTCACGGGAATAAGGGTAATTCCTTCTGTCACGCCCATTTTCTGCATACACTTGCAATTGTAGGGCTACGTCAATGCTATTGATGATAGTAATTCACGGCATTCGAATTTGTTGCAACGTCGTCCATTACGAAGTTGCTCACTATGGAAAATCTCAATTCAGAACTAGCGAAGGGCAAAAGGGTGAAATAGGGTGAAAAGTGTGAAATTGGCGCGATTGATTGAGCAGGACAATCTTGGTCAATGGGACTGAACGACTAGAAGTACATTTTGGAGCATCATGTCCAACAACGGAAAGAAACACGAAGGAAAGACATCGTGATATAAAGGCTCTACTCACTTTTTCTGCAGTAATGTAGCATGCATTCATAGAGTACGTTGAGAACGTAATATACAGTACATAACACGATACAGGACGTCATCCTTTCTCTTTCCTCAATCCCATTCTATAGACTTTGCCAACCAGTCAACATTAGCATCTTATCCAAGGATCGACAAGGATGAGATGAAGAGAGAAAAAGATGGGTACAGTTATGGAACCTGAATCACTCAAGTGGAGAGGATGGATGTCACTGACCAAGTGACGCACAACAATTAAATTCCTCCCCCTACTTGAGACATGTTGAACATGAAATAGTGGCCAAGGGCCAAGGTGAAGGCAGTTCATCGACCAATTATCCCAATGACCTTGGGCATGAGGCCTCTCTTCCGGAAGCCTCACCCTTGTAACCTTATGAGAGATATATCGGTGAAGAGAGATATGCTCTAAAATAGATCGGGTGACTTGGCCCCTTATTGTCTCATTAATCGCCCACTCAATCATCCAAGAATCCATGTCATCTTCAGAAGCACCTTTAATGAAACAGCAGGTGCTCCTTCAGTCAGCGTAGAGAGGAGGCTAACTGCTTCACGAGAAAATTGAGGTTTGAACCGGGTTTTCTTTCTTATATCAACACATGATGCAATAGGGTAGAGTTACGTGGGAACGATTAGCAACGATCATGATGGCAGGGGAACAGAGGAAACGGGGGATGGCCATTTTCCACAAAAAATAGATTTCTCCCTTCCCCCCTACTTTCTCCAGAGGCTACGGATATACGAGTGTCCCTCTGTGATTCCCTCACATAATAATGTTCATGCATGATGGGACGACGCAGGTAAACATAGGGAAATTCGGCCCAAAGCCCCAAACTTCATTCCAGATATGGTCAAATACACTTATATCCAATAGGGACATGGAAATGGAACAGTCCGATTTTGAACGGATGTGGAATCTAATGTATGTAATATTGGTCCCATTGGCAAAGGAACAGAGCATTCAAGCCAATCTGAAATCCTTATATATAAACTGTAGGGAATGCAAACAATGGGGTCAATGATGTGCAAGGGCCGAATGGTGCTTTCATAATAACTCCACAAACATCGCCTGTGAAGTATCTAAATTTACAGCAAGACTGGATTTAACAACACCATTGGAACAGTGTAGTGTTTGAGTGGCCTTTGGTCCCGGAGAGCGGGGCAACACTGGGGAGTGCCGGCATGGCAGGAAGCGAGGAAAGGGACAGGAGAAGCGTGCTGCGTGTGCATGGCGGAGGGCAGGTCGGCTCGGCGAGTGTCGTGGTGCAGCCCGTTGCATTGACCGGGACCGGATTTGGAGCCCCGTGATTGCCGTTTCGCCTTCTGGATCAGGATTCGCCTCCTTCCAACGCGTGGGACTGTGATGAGACTGTGATGAGACTGTGAAGAGACTGTGATTGGACTGTGATTGCTTCTCCCCACCTACACGCCGCTGCCTTGCCGCTTCTTTATCTGTATTTTATTTCCTTTTTCCTTTTTATATTTTATATCCTTGGCCTTNATTGCTTCTCCCCACCTACACGCCGCTGCCTTGCCGCTTCTTTATCTGTATTTTATTTCCTTTTATATTTTATATCCTTGGCCTTGAGGGTATTGGCTCGTTATCTGTGGGATCATGTTGTTACCCCCCCCTTGAGTGGCCCCTTTTTACTATTTATCTTTTATAGGCCTAAGCTTTATTGTCTTTTATAAAAGCTCTTTTGAAAGTTTTAAATATATATTATCAGGCTTAGAGAGGGACTGATCTTTTATTGAACCACGCCCTCAGTGCAAGTGAGATTCCAACGACACCTGGAATGGGCCACCCACATGGGTTGGCTGGGTAGGCGTCACACTGTCCTTTCATAAACTGCACCTTGGTCAAACGCGGCGCAGATGCGGCGACACGATTCAGCTGCTGTGATGCCAGATAGGAAGTGGTTATTGGTCTTGTTAGAGTCGACTTTGGAAGTCATGGTTATTGGCTTTGAACGACTAAGCAACTGCTGCATAATCACGCCCACACATATGGTGTAGATGTAATTCCAATAGACCAACTATACCCAGTAGAAGCATGTAATGTACATTAAAGTTCCTTCTTCAGAAAAATGCCTACTGCATTTAAGAAAACATGTTATTGCGTATTTTCCCATTTTCGTGCATGCCTCATGCATATTTTGGCATTTTTAAGCGCATATGTATGTGCCTATTTTACGACTTGATAACGCATAAAAATCCGTACCCTACTGATGACGTGCCGGAAGCAGCTTATAGACAGTCTACTCTAGGACTTACTCTCCGGACGCCCTTTGACGTCACGAACCGACAAAGGCGTCGAACGTATGAAAAATATTGTGCGTTCCGAATGGAGAATCATAGTTAGAAAGTGCAAGATAGACAGACATGTGAATCGGCTCCTATCCTACATTCATCGCTTAGGACATTGGCATGTATCGTGTCTTTGCAAAGATTATCCCCACGTCTGCTCACAGTTGAACAGAAGCAGCGACATGTCAGCTTCTGCTGACAGGTGCTGCAAACGATCCTCGATCGTTTCACAACATTATAAAGGGCAATGAAATATGGATTTACGGTTAGGATCCCGAGACCGAACGCAATAATTCGCCGACATGACAATATGGAAAGTTCGCCGACAACCAAAAGGCGGGTCATTATAAAGTCGTAGGCGTTGATGCTGATCACATCACAAGTAGCACATACGGAGGTGGGTCACCAACTGCATGTCCCACTTGCCAGCACTGTTCCGCAACCTTCCAGGCCGCTAGAGGGCGAGCATATTAACAGGTATTTTGTTGGTGGTGTACCAGCAGCTGGGAAGGGACCTACTGCCGGACCTAAGCGTGCCCAGAAGAGTCAACTGTGATGCTACCAATCGCCCACTGTTCAGCTCTTCTGAATTATAACAGAGAACCCCGATGGGTGAGCAGGACTCTTTAAGTGCTGTTCCAGTTACCTGGTAATCTAATATATGAAAGGTAATGTGGTCTATCAGCAAAAAAAATTATGATAAAGTGCCGCTGGTTTTGGGCATATAGGACCTTGTTCCTTTAATGGATATGAATAGATTTTCGGAGTAAAGTAAAGAATGAAGTGATTTATCGATACATACTACTCTTTCTCAAATTTAACGTGACGTTCACTGTAATTTCGTGTGGAGCTCCAGAAAATAATTTTTTTTCAGATAGACCACTTTGCCTTTCAGCCCTTCATATGTAGACGATCGTCACTGAGTGACTGACACTAATTCTAACCATGTTATATATATGATGGGAAGATGAAACTTGGCACGTAAGTACCTATTGCGATTCTGAGTCCAGAAAAATTCCGACTTTGGAGGCAATAGTCCTGGGGCCCGCATTTAGGGGGGGGGGGAAGTGTTTTCATATAATTTTTTGTTTCAGTCAACCAGAGAGACATGGAAAGCTGAAACTAGCCAGGAACATGATTAGTGATACACTGAGTTCAAGGAAAGTGTCAAGTTTCCAAGACATCCCCTGGGGGCATATTTTTGGCGCAGAAGTTTTCAATAATTTTTTTGTTTGTGCTATGACGGCTATGACGGCTTTAGCGTTAAACCAGGATGAACCAACGTGGAGGTAGCCGTCGTTCATCCCATGGGGAGTTTTTGGAAG